CTGTAGCGACAGGACGAGGGGTAATGGGTTTAGGAAACTTCGGCAGAGTCATCCAAATCGTCTGTGTTTTTAACCAACGAAAGACCCAGGGTCTGTCCACTGCTGCACGCAGTGTGCCCGCGGGCAGGTACAGAGCTGTGCTCCTTGCACAGGTAACACACTGGTGTCCAGCTCTATAATCTAAACCTTGAACGAGACAGCCGGCGCCATCCCAGCTGGGACTGAGAAAGCACTTGTGGCCCTCAACTTTTATGCCTTAGTTAATGACAGTAATAGCATGATGGGCCAGGAAACCTCGGAACTCTGCTGCGGAGAGAGCAATGTCACCCCATCTGACGAAGCTGCAGTGGGTTTCCTGGTGGAAGAAGTGAAAGGGTCAGCTGTGGAGTGAAGGATGGTGCATCATCGCGGGACTCCTCAATCCGTAGCACCCTGCGTTGTTCTTGGCCAGGGTAGCTCCTAAGGCAATGGACAGGTTGGATTATAGCGTGATGCATTCTGCTCTCAAAGCTCTGCCATGGCCAGCTGTTAGCCTGCAGCAACTGCTCACAGTTAAACTGAGTATTTCCCTTCTAGTACTTCACTCTGGCTGCACTGCTTATCCAGGGTCAGGGAGAGAGATCAGCAGCTAATCCATACTCCGTCTTGATAGCAAGAGTTGACTTAAAAGAGCTGCTGCTTAAACCCCAAATCAGCATTGATCGATACAGATATTCCCATAAAGCCAAGACAATCTCCTTTCTTGCAGCTAATGGCACAGAGACGGTGGCCAGGAAGCAGCCAGACGGTACTTACCGTCTCTACGGATTCAAGTGGTTTACGTCAGCTGCCGATTCTGATGTGACACTAACCCTGGCCAGGGTAGCGGATGCTGAAGGACAAGTAACTCAGGTCTGTTTGACGGTGGAACACGGTGGAGGGGCAGGAGCATTCTTTTTCTTCCTTGTTTCACTGTAATTAACTCTTTGCACACCTTTTTAATGGCCCCAGGGTTCCAGCGGCCTGTCCCTGTTCTTCCTGAAGGTTCGAGATGAGGAGGGGAAGCTGAACGGCATCCAGGTGCAAAGGCTGAAGGACAAGCTGGGCACACGGCAGATGGCAACAGCAGAGCTATGGCTGGATGGAGCCGAAGCAGAGCTGGTACGTAAGGTTCCATCTTCCGCTTGGGACTGGGCTGGCTGGGCAGGCCACTCCTGGGGGGTCTGGCAGCGATGCAGCTGAAGAAGTTCCTCTCTTCCACCTCTGTGGCTGTTCATAGAACCCTTCACCAATGGGGCTGTGCATGGGGCACAGCTGAGGAGAGCTCTGGGAAGGATGGGAGGGAAGAAAAAACAAAAAAAGTCATTTTAGGCTGGTCATTTCCCTAGTCCAGTTGCATTGACCAGCTGAGGGACAGCTGTGTGCAGCACGCCGTAGGGACCAGAACTGATCATGCTGACACGGCTTCCAAAGCCACCGCTCTGGTCACGCCACAGACTTGGCTGAAATGAGGTGGCTGTATTTTAAAGCAAGCAGACCTTTGGGATGCCTGAGGATGGAGACGGAGGGAACAGCCTCTGTCTGCCTGCTGACACAAGTTGCCATAGACATACGTCAGCTCCCGAGGTTGTGCAAAAAGCTTACGTCAGCCCTCATCCCTTCGTGCTTCCAGATCTCTGCAGAGGGACGTGGAGTGGCCTCGATCTCCAACATGCTGAACATAACTCGGATCCACAACGTCATCAGCGCAGTAGCTTCCATGAGAAGGTGAAGGCAGCATGGATTCCCCCCGAGCTGAAGGAGCAGGCCAAGGGGACTGTGCAATGCTCAGCACTGCAGCCGACTGATGTCTAACGCCTTTGTAGGCTCGGGCCTGTAAGGCAGCAGTGCTGGAGAACGCTGGCATGTGGGTGGGTGACCTGGGCTGGCATGCTGCTGCTGAGCAGGGTTCTTCCCGTGGGGGTGGCTCAAGGGAAAGCTCACAAGTGGAAAGTTGCTGGTCTAATGCCTTTCCCTGGCTGCATTCTCTCTAGGATGATCACTCTGAGCAGGGAGTATGCCCGCAGGCGGGTTGCCTTTGGGAAGCTCCTCAAGGACCATCCCCTACACATGCAGACGATAGCCCGGATGGAGGTAAGGCTTGTGGGAGCTGAGCTGAACCTGTTGGCGAGGGAAGAGGGCAGAGCATGAGCACAGCCGGCCTGCCTCTGTGCGCACCAGTAGGATGTAGCAGGCTGTTCCTGCTGGGTGATTTCAGGTTATCCTAAACAAGGATTACCTGGGAGCTGTTCTGAGAGCAGTGCCAAAGCTGATGCATGCACCTCCTGTGACATGCCGTGACCTCTAGGTTGGTCATCGGAGTCCAAGTGTGACACCGCAGTCTCCTAAAATGCCATTAACAGACTCTTGTCCAAGCCTGGTACAGACTCATCCAGCTTTCCTGGTAGCTCATGCACCAGGAGATGGGCTATTCCCAGCAGGCTCAAAGAATTCCTGAGCAGTCACCATGCACCTCAGGTTCTGAGAAGTTGGTCTTTGCCGTGTACCGGTGCGGTGCTCATCACCACAAGCACCGAGCTCGAGTGTGGCAGTAGCAGACGGGGAGAGAGCAGCATGAATTGGTGCTCTGGCTCAGGGAGGAGTTTCACGTGTGGGCTGTCGCTCACTGCAGAACGTCTGGCAGCTTTGCCACAACGCTGAGCTGTAGCAGCTCACCAAAGCCACACGTGGCTTCCTGCCTCTGCTCAAACCTCAAAACGAAGACACAGTTCTCCTCTCACCCACCCAGGCACTACTTCTTTTAAGTGGTGTAACACCAGCGCTTGCCCTTGGGCTACAGGGGGTTCATGCAAATTTTAAAACCAGTATTTAAAAACCCTCTTGCAAGGTGGGGGAGACGGAAAGTGGTCAACACTTGCCAAACATGACTTAGAGCTCTCTCAGCCTGTGGCCAGAATTCCACCCCTGAAAAAGGCCAGATCCTCTGTAGTCCCACAGCACATCCTCGTGCACAGGGGCTGCAGAGCTTCGTGTCCCTGTGCTTCACACACCACAGCTTGTTGGGAAGTTGCTCAGCAAGAATCTGTCAAAGGCGTTGCAGATCCCGGCACTCAGAGGCTGACCATCAGATGTGCGCACCCGTGTCCCTTACCCTTGGAAAGGAGGTGGATTTGTGAGCTGGATACCTGACAGGAGCTGTGATAAGGCTCCGAGCAGGCCTGCTGGGATTGCATCGCCCCTTTCCTCATGCTAGATTGCAGCGTCCAAGAGCAGCAGTTTCAGATTACCTTTAATACTGCATGCTTTGTGCCTTGGCTGGCCAGGGGTCTTTGTCGCTGAAGCTGTGGGGCTGTATGGGCAGGGGTGGCACTTTGCCAAGGCCCGTGTCCCGCGCATCCCTTCCAGACAGCCTCATAGCAGCTCCGCAGGCCAGGCTGGAATCAGCCCCCGTCGGAGCCATGCCAGCGAAGCTCCGCTTCTCCGCTTGCAGGTGCAGACACGAGGGGCGTTTCTGCTGCTAATGGAGACCGTTCGCCTGCTTGGGCTTGTGGAAGCCAACATGGCGAGTGAGCAGGACCAGCTTCTCTTGAGACTGCTGACACCAGTCGCCAAACTGTACACCGGGAAGCAGGTATGGAACAACCAGTTGGATTGGGATGGAGTGGGGCTGGCTGGCACATTCACAACCAGAGAGCTGGCAAGAGGAGTGACTCACATGGCCAACGTGCCGGGCAGCGA